ACACACACACACACACACATATATATATATATATAGGTATTCAAATACACACAACCAAGTACAGATTAATTTGCACACATGTGTACACGTTCAGAACTCCTATTAGCTGCACATGGAATCAAATCAGATGTATGCGATTACGAAATAACTATTTTACACAGGGTACACAAGTGTACGTTCATACCGATTGTATATAGACACGGAAGAAGCTGGCCAGCTTTTGAAGTACATACACGGAAGTAAAAATAACTGAAAATCGATAAAAAAACTGAATTGATTGTCACTGCAATTCAAAGCAAACGATCACACACCATACAACAGCAGCAAACACACACAGAACAACGGATACTTGTGCACTCACTTCTGCAACGGATAATGGCATCACCACTCGATACTCCTGGATCAACATAGTCGAAGTACTTATTCGATTCGGAAGTTATTGAATTGCAGTCAGTAGGCATACAGTTTAAGGATAATTTGCTTTCGGATCGGTCTAGTAATTTATACGAGAATCATACATACGCAGAAACAATTATGTACGTCTAATTTAGTAGTTAGGAAGCCGTTGTATTTATATGTATTAAGAGTCTATATGGTATTAAGAGACGGTGACAGATGACCCCCGAGAAGTGTTACTTGGTAGGACTGAGAACGAACCTGATGACGATTACAAAGAAACAGTCGATATAAATATAATTAAATACACCCTCTACATATCGCTCAGACACTCTCTGTACTGTATTTAGTAGAGAGTAGAGTTTATAACGCTCTACTGCTACATCGTAGTAAAGCATTTGAATTCTGTCCGTATAGCGTATCAGATCACTCCATTCGCCGCTGAATTTACTCCCACTCGATCACACATAACGGACTTCAAAAATCAGGACTCGGAGACTCTGAGAGTCTGTGAGTCTGGACTCTGGAGGTTTTAAGGGGTTCCGGTTACCTGTTACATACCACCCTACCGGGGTACATATTTATGTACATAGGCAGTACTTATACTACGACTACTCTCTCTCTCTCTCTAGCTAGTAGAGAGAGAGAGAGAGTACACAGTCACTCTAGTTACTAACACTTCCTACAATGTAGTAGTAGCCGGTATTAGGGGATAAACCCTAAACCCTATGGACGAAAAGTCCAAAACCCACCATTGATGGAAGTCCTAAATAGTAAATACTCTATGTGTGCTTAATGTGCTATAAATATAGACAAATAAGGGAGGCTTTAAAAATAAAACAAGATACACGATGTCATCGACACAGAGTTTAAAAATAAAAAAACTAGAAATACAAAATGCATTTTAGGGTTTTTCTTTGCTGAAAGTTTAATACCGGTTTCTGCAGATTTTATTTTTAGTACAAATAATCGGATCTGCCAAAAATCATCACTGGGCCAACCTCCAACCAGAACTGCTGCTAAAATCGAGAATTACATATCCATGATAAGTATTTTTTAGAACAGAATAAATATTTTCCAAAATTGAACCATATTTATGGTTAATCATTGGGTATGCTGTACAGAGAAGATCCTAGCAGCTAGACTGCTAGATCAATAAATACCACACGAAAGTCGCAGCGGCTGAAATAGTCATGACTAACAATTGCAACCCGTCTTTACTCTTTAGACTCTGTGGACGGATAGATACTAAAAATCATACATTTGTGGCTTTATGCAGAGTTTCGAATCACTCATACTTTGTAGTTCCATGGGTTAATATCTTTATATATATATCGTGACAGTAGTTGTATTCGGGGGTGTCTTTCAATGCATTGTCAGAGCATTAGTAAATCTCGTATGTCTTGCAAGTGGAGTGTATGAACAATCACTGCGTTATCAATCAACCATAGACACTAGCCTCGGCGAGATGAGAACGGCATAAGGGCTTTCGCACACCTTCGTATAGCTATAATCGATTATAATACAGTATAGAAAGAGAAGGATGCCTCATCAATACATTATCGTTTGCTAGGGCGAGCCTTTGGTGGTGTCTCCTACGTATTCGCTTTTGTTATCTCAAATAGCATAGTACAAATAAACTATATGGCCACATTGCAGTATGGCCTTTACTACACCATGGGTTCTACTGGTGATGTGTTGGACTGTGTCGCATACCATAGGGATTGTGTATGCACAGGATGCTGATACTGTAACAGCTGCGCTTGACAGTCTGCTCAACAACACAGACAACATGCATGACGATACATCTAGTGCCTACAAACAGCTATGGGCACCAGGCCACGCCCTGTCATTTGACGGTACGAAATATATAGTGCTTTATTTATTTTGTTTGTGGAGCTATATATATTTTATATATATATATATATATATATATAATCACATATAAATACATACACACACACACTAACACACTAACACACACACACACACACACACACACACATATATATATATAAATATATATATACATATACATAT